TATGGTAGAAATGAAAATTAGTAATAAATATTTAATATAAGTTGATTCTAATTTTTTGAGATTAGGGAACTAAATATAATTTATCACTGTTTCTATGAGAAAGGGTAACTTAGGTTCCAAAACTCCAACTTACAAATGAACACAACCCATGTGCAAATTATGCACTCTTTTCCTTATTATTCCATAATGCTGGGATCTCCAAAGAGAAGTGTAGGGTGGCAGGACACGAATATCTACTGAGCTGGTAGAAGAAAGTACTAAAAAACCTATTTCACTTATTTTTATCTCATCCACTTACAATTTTTATCTCTGTATTTCCTTTTTAAAGTTCACAATACATTTGTGTTACAGTCCACAAAATGTTAGAAAGTTCTTTGAGGAAGAATACACTCAGGATTATTTTTATTAATTGGGGTAGGTGATAAACATGCTGACGAGTAGTAATGTAGAAGATACACAGAGTGATAGGATTTAAAATTTGGAACTTGAAAGAGAGACTGTTTTTAAAGCTTTCTGAGGCCTTTCTAACTAAAAATGAGAGACTTACTAGAAACCTATCAATATATCTTTCTGCAGACAAAAGCCTATATAACAATTATTTTCAACTAGAGATAAAGAGCACCTGGAGACTGTTAACAATACAGCTTCTTGACCTTTCCATATCCAGAGATTCTGATTCTAAAAGTCCAGAGTGGGACCAAAAATTCCAGTAGCCTTGAAATATTAGGGTAGTATCTCAATGCAACTTACGTTCTCGGCCAGATAATTCTGTGTTGTGAGGGGCTGTTTGGTCCCATGCATTGTAAGATATTTAGCATTACCCCTGGCTTCTACCCACTAGATCCTAGAAGGACCCACTCTACTCCCTGTATGTCTACCAAACATGTCTCCAGATGTTGCCAAATGTCTCCTGGAGGGCACAATCTCCCCGGACTGGAACCAGAGAGAGAAGCTATCCAAAGAGGATCCACTTTGAGGAATTCCATCCTTAATCAGAAGGATAAAACAATATGATACGTGTCTAAGAATATGGGTGTTACAAGCATACATTGTATAAATTGAAATAAACAGGCTTCCCATAAAGGAAATCTGATTAGCCACTATAAACTCCTGACAACTTAGCTAAGCTTCTAAGTCAAAGCTCTTCTTATGTAATTTCAACTCGAAGATTTTCTCCCTAGCTTCTATTTTAAATTATTTTTAATTAACTTCACTGGCATTTTGCATCCTGCTATGAAAAGTCTGCCTAATAGTCTCAGAGGACTCTCCCAAGAGAGAAGAGTGCATTAAATCACACATTATCACATTAAAGTATATTCCAGCACTCACAGTCCAACAATCGAAGTCTTGGCAAATGCAGGGAGTGGCGGGGGGAGGGGGAAGATGCAGGGACTGGAACAGGCTCAAGTGATTCACAGTATCCAAAGCCTATTATCTTCGATTCATCCATCCGTAGGAAAGATTTATATTCATTCTTTACTTCAACCACATTTATCACAATGACGTATATTCCCCAGTTTGTGGTTCTACCCTGATTTCTATGGACTGCATGAGACCTTGGCCAAGTCACCTGAATACTTTGGACAACCTTTCTAAAAAGTGAGCCAGTTGGGGGCACCTGGGTGGCTCCATCGGTTAAGCGTCTGACTTTGGCTCAGGTCACGATCTCATTGTTCCTGGGTTCGAGCTCCACACCAGGCTCTGTGCTGACAGCTCAGAGCCCGGAGCCTGCTTCAGATTCTGTCTCCCTCTCCCTCGGTCCTTCCCCCACTTGCACTGTCTCTGTCTCTCAAAAAATGAATAAATGTTAAAAAAAATTTTTTAAAGTGATCCATTTGGACTAAGTTATTTTTATAAATCCTCATAGTCCCAGGTTGCAAATGTATGAATGAAGTACTTAATTAAAAAGCTCTTCCGAGTACATGGATTCTAGTAACTTTTGTGCAAAAAAGTAAGTACCTACATTTTCAGTGATAACACAATGAATTTTAAGATGTTTAATCCAAGAATGAAAAAAAAAAGTGACAATTAGATGAATCACGTATACAAGATCCATTCTCTCTTAAAACAAAATTAAGTTTGGCCCAAATTATCCTTCATCTATCAAGACCTTCATACAGGGACTTTGCATGGGACAGCAAATCAAACCAATCTTTCAGAAGTTAGTCATAAATAGGGAAACAGTTATAAACACATGTTTACATTCTAATTTCTAGAACAGAGATAACAGATCAGCTGCCTAGAGGCCATATCCAGCCTGAAAGCGTAGTTGTTTTGTTGGCCGGGGCAAAATTGTATTTAATCAATTGCCAACTTTTAAAAAGGGAGAGATGATACATAAAAATCTGTATTTCCAGTGTCTCTTGAAATACTGGAAGATATTAGCCCAAATGGCAACAATGAGCTGGTGCTGAGCATCACCACCTCCTGGCCCATGGGCTGTCCCAGGGCCCACGATCCCTGCTGCTTACAAGCTCCTCACACCCATCCTGGTTCCCTCTTACAGCCTGGAGCATAGGAGCTTATGTCCTTGCTCTGCAACAATTTTCAAAATACACAGAAAATGTTTTTAATGCTTTCAAACCAATAGAGTTTCCCTTGCAGAATCACAGGAAAAGAGCAGAAATTTTAAAGAGGTAGAACAATGCTCTTAATAAGGAAACCTTCCTAACCCTGAATGCCGTTACATAGAATCAGCTACACTGTAGGTTTCTAACTAACCATCTGGAAGAACGGAGAAAGGGATTTTAGATTTGATGGCGAGTTCACTAGAGACCCCCCTATAATTTCTTTTAACTTTAACATTGCATGCCCTTAGTTAGCAGTGTGGATATCTCATCATGATATAGTAATATATGCATAGGTTTTATCTTGACATCTATCTATCTTTGCCTACAAGGTAAGACTTGACCTTATATTTCCTCTTCGTGAAAAGATATTTTCTGCTAATTGCCATACAACACTCCATTTTTCTCACAGATTTTAATATATAAAAATTTTAAATTAAGTTTCAATTAACTAAGCAGCCACATCTGACCAGAGAATTATTAAAGTATTCTTCTGAAAAGATGATAAAGAATCCAAGGACAGAGGAAAGAACTCAAGAGCTGGAGAGTAGGGCACTCTGTGAGCAAAGCTTCTCTCTTCACTAACGCCTTTACCAAGAGGACCAAACTACCTATGGAAGGCTGCATCTGCAAACTTTTACCCTACCCACTCACTCCAAAATTTGTTTTCTTTCAATATACCTTATGAAATCTGCTTGTATGAGACATAATATTTTAGCAAGAATCTGAAGATTTTCTTCCTAAAAAATCATTACAATCATTACCTTATATTACACATACAATTAAATTGAAGCTTAAAGGATGTGAGTCAAAGATAAACTAATAAAAAGGCGGTATATAACTATGTTGCTGAGGGTAAGCCGATTTTCAGGTACAATATAACCCCAAGAGTTTCCACACTGGTAATCCTGTATGCAGTCAACTGCACTTCAGACCATTCTAGATGCTCACTTCCTAAAATCAGAATCATGTGATATTTTACAGCATTGCATTGCATTACATTACACACCACTGCAAGTTCTAGCTGACTCTAACGATGCGTATTATTAAAGTAAGTTGGACACTGTAGATATCACTATGTCCAAATCAATTGTTTTTGTAGTGTGTTTGATGTGGATTTTGACATAAGCATTGTTTAACAATAGTGATTAACAGCTCAAGTGTGAAACATCAATGAGTCGATAAGATTATGAAGGGCATGCCTAACAACAGGAAAATGACTGTTGGCAATACAATGTGCAGAGCATGGGCTGCTTCTGGGAAAACATGTTTATCATTCTACTTCTCTGATTTGCTCTATTTTCTGTTTAGAAAAAAATGACTCACTGTTTAGAAGCAAAAAGCAATGATAAACATAATTCAATTTAACAGCCCTGAATGCCAGAACATTTTAATTTAGCCATGGATGTTTTCTGCTTTCACGTCTTTTGAGTTCAACATTAACTTCTTCCTTTCCATTTTTGCAGCTTGGGGAAAAAGAAAAAAAAAAAAAAAAAAAAACAAAGAAACCAAAAACAAACAAAAAAAAAAACACCAATCCCAAGAAGCTCACTACATTATTGTCAAAGAAATACAAAAGCTATCAGATATGCTTAAAATCAAGACTATAAAGTAGGTTTTGAAGACCTGGAAAATTATTTAGCCTATATCAATATCAGAACTTTCTAAATCAGAGCCACCGTTAGAGGAAACCGCATCAGAAGAGTAAGGCCCTTGCTCCCTGAAAACCTCAAGGATGTTACCTTCAAGAGAGCAAAGATATTGCCTGACTTGTTTATAAGCTTGTTAGGGAAGTCTCCCAGAAACAAGATCATATTCTTTATAGGCTGCCTGTGTTTACACTTTGGAAAAACACAAAAGAGCTAATTCATTCTTGCCAAGTGTTCCTTTTTAAAGCATGCTGATTTCAAAACAAAACAGTTATTGAAACGTATGTGTGAGCCATTCCAAAGGAACTGGTCACAGAACCCCACATCATCAACTGAGCTGCAGAGTGGCTCACAAGAAACAAAGATGAGCCCAGAGTGCTTAGCTTGTTCAGAGAGCAGCAACAGACCTGGATCTGAGGAAGACACAAGAACTGAAGTGAAGCAGGCGAGAGTGCTTCAGATCCCACATATTGGAGTCTTAGGCCCCAAAATGCATATGCTTAAGAAAGAAGCAATCATGTCATCCAGTTTCCCTGCAGTCAAAGGAAGGGGGAGTGGAAGGACCAGCGGATCCCGCCCTCTTATCCGGTTGTTGATCTAGGGCTGGAGTCCTGGAGAACTTTCTTGAGTAGCACTAACTGTGCAAAAGTTCACAACTACGGGGTGAGACTCCGACCTCATTGCACACCAACCTCCACCCCCCTCCCTCAATCAGTAAATGTGTGGACAAATTTTAAAATGCAACAACGACAAAGCGACTCGCAACTTGCGAGCAGGCACTCACCCTGGGCTGGGGCGCCCAGCCGGCCGCCGCCCGCCTCGGCCCCGCGCTGGGGCCCGGGAGCCAGGGCTTCGCCCGCGCCGGACATGGGCCGCTCCACCGAGCCCGCGCCGCGCTGCCGCCTAGCTCGCCGCCCCCGGGGCGGACGCGAAGGGCTGTTAGGTGGTGGGTGCAGAGAACTGACTGCTTCTGGTGGGGGGGAAAAAGTGTTTTCAGAGACCAGCACGCCACCCCTGCAGGACATTCCCTGCCCCTCCACCTCCCTCCCCCAAACCCCACCCCAGAGAAGTTTTGATTTGAAACCCGGGAGGCAAACTGCTACCCCGCACGTTGACAGTGGTGGAGTTGGGGGGCGGGGGAGGGCAGTGGGAGGGAGGCACTGAAAGGGGGCGGGGAAGGGAGACTGGATTTGGAAGCGCGGGGAAGGGGACCAAACCCCTCCTCCTTCTGGCCGGGGAGACCACCACCTACCTCGGCATCCCCCCCCAACTCTCTCAAAGCCCCTTCCTCCTTCTCCTCTTCCGCCCGGCAAAGTTAGCGAGGATCCAGCAGCTTCGGCATCTCACCCCAGTGGCCTGGCAGCAGTGGCGGCCGCCCCTGCGCGTCCCTCCCCGCCTCCCTCAGGCTCAGCCCAGACACTGCAGTGGCTGCAACTGCGCCAGTGGCCGCTCTTCTGACTCCGTGCTCTCCGCCCTCTCTTTCCAGCCAGCTCAGTCCGGCCAGCTCCCCAGGAAGGGGGCCTGTTCCCCTTCTGGCTCTCTGTCCCCCTGCCACCACTCCTCCACTCCTGAAACACTTCTCCGTCTGTTGCTCTTTTTCATCACATCCGGATCAGGAGGCCTCGAACTCTTGGCGGGCCGCCCAAGGCTGGGGGCGGTGCAACGTGGGCTCCCTCGCCCTGCACTGTCTGGGTCAGGAGGCCAAAGCCGGAACCGGCTGGCTCCGGGTAAGGGGTTTCTCTAGGGACTGAGAGAAAGGAGGGAGTTGGCTGGTCCTTGGCTGCCTAGGCGTTTTCCTGCCCAGACTTACCCCATTCCCTCTTCTCCCAGCCTTTCTTCCCAATTCTGTCCCAGACCCACTGAAGATCTGGGAACTCCCTGAGTGAAGGAGAAACTTTTAGGGGGGACAATGCAAAACAAAAAATATAAATATTTATCGAACTTTCCTGATAGGATAGTAAAAGTGTGGTTTTGAAACCCTGAACCTTAGCTCAGTGTTTAAACTCTATGCCTCTGAAGTTACCTTTATTCTCTTTTTCAGGTCTTTATTCTGGTCCAACAGGAACGTGGATCAGTAAAACCAGTTGCACTTGCTTGAATCAGCTGGAAGCATCCAGGCAGACAAGGTTGACATCCCAGAGGACGACCTGGCCCAGGGCCCCAAGCCAGGCCTTGCACAGTGAATGGCTTCTGTGGCAAGATAAACCTGTGGTCGGAAGTAAAAAGCCAACTAAGTATCAGGCGTTCTGATTGTAGCATAACCTGATGAGCCTAGAATAACTTGTACGAAGCAATTTGCAGGTACAAAGTACTTTAATAATATAATCAGGTAACTTTTGTTCTTTCATTGCAAGCAAAATGCAGAATTCATTTCTAGAAAGGTAGAACCAACTCATGCTTTAAATCTCTAGGCCAAGAGAGGAAATCAGTTATGTTGTCAACCTTGAAGAAAATGTACACTGGATGCAGCTTTCTAGGTGTATCAATAATATCCCAGGAATTTCCTTTCTTTAAAAAACCCACTGGAATTGATTTCAACTGATTGAAAAAAAATCCATTTCTTAACTTGAAAGTGCCAGTGCAACCCAACCTACTTTCAGTTAAACCTGAAGAACACAGACTTTGAAGTTGCTGATGACAGTGAGGTCAAACTCTACATCCCAAAAAAACAAATGACATTTTCCCTAATGACCTATGCCTAATTTTTTTTCTTCTGTCTTTAGTTTAGACATTTCAGAAACAGTGTGCATAAAAGTGCCTTCACTTTGCTGAAAACTTGTACAGGGGCCTGGACTCTAGAATCTGCTTGATAGAAGCAGATCAATTCTGAGGATGACTGCAGTTCCTTTAGAGAATAAACGTTTAGAAAACATCACTGTCTACTACAACATTATCTGCAATCAAAGGAACAGGGTAGGAAGTAGCCACTCGGAAAGATTGTGTTATCCCTTTTTTGCACATTTCCTTGACTTCTTTTTTTTTTCTAATCCCCTCACAAAGAGGTTACAGTCCATGAATATCAAGACGTTCTACAACTCTTCTACAAAGTCATAGGCACAATAAATATTTATTAATTTCACACGGAGTGCTTAATGTTGCACACATGGTAAGGGATTCAATAAATACTTCTTGAATTTAAACATTTTACTTTTTAATGAGGAAGGAATAAAATTCAAATAAAAATATTAGGAATAAATGAGAGCCTGTGTTATAGAATCACCAGGATGGTCAAATGCTGTATCTTGCTCAGCTGTGTGACTTTGGGCAACTTAGTCAAACTCTCTATCCCTTTGTTGCCTCATAAAAATGGTAAGAGAAACACTTCACAGGGTCCCATGAGGGATAATAAGCTTACTATAAAAAAATAATTATAAAATAAAAATATAAGTGAAAAACATAAGTCTCCTATAGCATTTGGAATAATGTCAGGTATGAGGACAGGGGGTCAATACCTGAGCATTATACAGCAGAAGCATTTGGATGGATTACACTGAGCATGGCATGATGACTAGATCACAAGGGCCACATCAAAATACCAGGTGTCAGGGCTCGTGGGTGGCTCAGTTGGTTAAGCACTCTTCGGCTCAGATCAAGATCTCACGGTTCTTGAGTTCCAGCCCTGCATCGGGCTCTGTGCTGATAGCTCGGAGTCGGGGGCCTGCTTCGGATTCTGTCTCCCTCTTTCTGCCTCTCTACCTCTAAAATAAACATTTTAAAAATATATAGATCAGTTATCATACATACACTTTATAAATTTTCTGTGTTCTTAGATCAGCCCTACCAATAACTTGCCAGGATTGCACTGCTAGGATTTAGAACTCAGATCTATCCATCTTCAAGGCTATCTTGCTTCTTTAGGTAAACTCGGGTCTTCCCTCTGGAAGGTGTAAGGGTGGCATCTGATAGGCCAGAAATTAAGTGTGGACTCCTAAGTGTTCCCCAAGCTGCCCACTTACCCTATCCCTTGCTGTATTTGTTCAGTCTGATTAATTGCTTAGCTTGGTTCCTGACGAGTGGCACTCCATGCCCTCTTCTTTCACGTAACAAATACGTTTGGAGGTGGAAGGCACTGTTGGGGGTGCTGGGGACGCGGCAGTGAAGATGATCAATGTGGCCACTGCCCTTATGGAGTCGCAGCCGAGGAGTAAATAGGGATACACAACCACTTACAACAACAGTTGCTGAGTGGCAAGGCAAGACAAGTTCTGGGATGCTAGGATAATAAATAAGCTAACAGGGAGATGTAGTCTGGTCTAGGAATCAAGGGAAAGGTCCTGGAAAAAATTATGTCTCTGCTGAGACCAGAAGAAGAAAGTGAAAAGGAAAGGAACAGACTGCTCTAGGTAGAAGGAGCCATGTGGGAAGAGGCCTGGAGGATGGAAGGGAGCCAAGCATCCTTGAAGAACTGAAGAAGTTCAGTGTAAGGAGATAACTAATACAAGGTTGGCAGTAAGAAAGATGGAGCTGAAGAGAAAATCAGGGGCCTTACCAGGGTTGAACAAGGAGGCTATATTATCCAAATTTCCATTTATAAAAATCACTCTGGAATAATGTATGAAACAACTTGGAGGCACTGAGATTGGAGCTAGGGAGTCCACTAAGATGGCAGGGGAATGAAGCCAAATAGAGGCAAGAGGCGGGGAGGAGAGGGATCCAAGGTGACTTCCAGGTTTCTGCATCTGGGTGGAGGCTGGTAATACCACCCACAAAGATGGATGGAAACATTTAGGAGAAGCAGGTTTGGGGAAAGCTGCTGAATTGATCACGTAGATGATATAGCCTCTGAGGTACCTGCAACACACCTAACTGGAATCATCCAGAAGGTTGCTGGATAGGGATTTGGAACGTAAGCACATAGATGGTTCTCCACTGACTAGGAGCTCTGAGTGCCCAAGAGGAATATGTAGCGTAAAAACAAAAGGCTTAAGACACAGCTATGCCCTGAAACTCAATACAAAGGTGTCCTTGCTGGCCCCACTCCCTTTCTCCACACCCTTCCCAATGTCATCATAATACCGTTATCTCCCTGGCTTGAGACCACCACTATTTAGTCACTACTACCACCACTGACCCACAACCCCAGATGCCCATGGGTATCACATGATGGCCTTTGTTAAGCCAGATTTTGCCATGTCTCCTACTATAGTAATCTGGATGGGTCGAAACTTTCCCTGGGCAATTAAATGCTCTGGCTCAAAGCCCTCTACCATTAAATCTCAATGTGTGGGATGCTTGCGTGGCTCAGTTTATTAAGAGTCTGACTCTTGATTTCAGATCAGGTCACGATCTTGTGGTTCAGGAGTTCAATCCCTGCATCTGGCTCTGTGCTGACAGTGTACAGCCTGCTTGGGATTCTCTTTCTCTCCCTATCTGCCCCTGCCCTGTTCTTGCTCTCTCACTCTCTCTTAAAATAAATAATTAAAACTTTTAAAAAAGATATTAAAAAAATCCCAATGTGTTTTATACCCATTTCTGCCTAGTGATATGCACTAGTGATGATCTAATGTGAACGCATTGTGAAAAAAGTCTGACATGAGCTAAACCGATAAAATGAACTAATTAAATGAGTTTATAAAGCATCATTATGAACTACTCAATGTCCATCATTCGTTCAACATTCATCAAACATTTATTGTGCTATGTACTGTGTCACAAGTTCAGGAGCTAAATATTTTTATTTGAGGTCTTGAAAAGCACCTAAATTAGTTTTCACTTGGGCAGAGGAATAGTGGCATAGCTCAAGTCCAAGTCAATATCCTTATGCAGTTATCTAAAACACAGTCACACAAATGGGGTATGTAATTGTGCATGCATCCCAGGGGGTGCACAAGACGATTCTCTGGAGTGTGAGAATATGAGAAAATATTCTAATATGAACATTTATATTTTTGTTTTATTATTTGTAAATTTGATTTTCGAGTATGTTTTACAATGTATAAAACACATTAGTACAAAAGCACTTGTGTATCATTTATAAACATACATTAGGGGTTCATACTAAAAAATATTCTATCATTTGCTTTGTAAAAAAAAAATGGTTTAAATGCTTTACATCATTCAAGGTACGTTCATTCAGTCATTCCCAGATTATTCCAAGGTTAGTTTTTCTAAAAAACATATATACCTACCTAATTTATGTCAATGTGGGACTCTAGCAATCCCCAAACCCAGGGATACAAAAATACCCCTAAGCCTCTAAATAGCAAAAATAACCTTCATGTTCACATAGGGCCAACACAATGGCCATCGACTTTCTCAAACCCGACTCTTTGTGTGTGTGAACATATACTTCCTAAACAAACTTTATTTTCTATTGTGTTAGCTCACAAAAAAATTTAGGGCACAGGGGCTTTGAGAAAAAGACATTAGCTAAGGGAGCTATTAGGTCAGAGAAAGTGACAGCAGAAGAAATGGCAGATGACAGATAGGGAAGATACAGGAAAATAAACACGTCATAACAGTGCCTTTGTGAATTCAGCCCAGTAAAACAGTGAATGTTCCTAATGAGGTACCTAGGTCATTAAGAAAAGATTCAGTTACATTAGTATTGCATTCTGTCTTAGGGAAGCAGTTCAGTATTTTTACATTTCAGGAAAAATTTCACCAAAAAATGTTCACATAAGAAAGAGAAAATGTTGCTACTTGAAAGAGTATCTTTCACAGAATTACATTTTTATAGCTGCAAGGGAAATGAGCAACCCCGATTCCAGGCCGATTTGTTTTAACTGTGTTTCTCCACCTCCTAGTGCTTTCTTGAAGAGGAGAGGTCAAGTGGACAGGTTTCTGGAATCCCATTCTTACTTCAAATAGAGCACTTTCCTCTTTTTCTCCATGACATTCTCATTGGTCCTCCCCTTAAAATTTTTTAAATGAGAAAACCGGTCCTTCTAGTTTTTAAACATTTGAAAACCACCCTCTTGTCCAACTCCTTCATTAAGCATGCAAAGAAATATAAAGACAAAGTTCATCAAGCTCAACAAGCACATACTGAGTATTCACTATATGTCAAACCATAGGCTGGGCACTTCCTCTATTCAAAAACAGAGGATGGGCACATGGATGGCTCAGTCAGAAGTGTCCAACTTCAGCTCAGGTTGTGATCTCATAGTTCCTGAGTTCAAGCCTCACATCCAGCTCTGTACTGTTAGTGTGGAGACTGCTTGGGATTCTCTCTGCCCCTTCCTGACTTGTACTCTCTCTCTCTCAAAATAAAGACTTAAACTTAAAAAAAAAAAAAACAAAAAACAAAAAACAACAGAGGCAATAGTAGTAGCTCATAGTGGAACTCTAGGGGTAGGGAGCAGAGTAGGAAAGGGACAGTCACATAAATAAGAAGTGTAGTACAGGGTCGAGAAGAAAGTGGCACCTAACTGCTGAGGCGTAGGTGGGGAGACTCAGGGGATGTTTCAGAGTAAAGCTGACACCAAGCTAAGTACTGCTGATGAGTAAGAGTTTCCCTGTCCCAATGCTAAGGTAATTCCAGATAAAAGGGGTAATGTATGCAAAGGCACACTAGTGGGAAAGCCCCACAGAAGTTAACTGACTTGGCAAAGGTCATTTAGTGGGTTCATGACAGAGCTAGGACTAAAAACCTACATTTCTTGACATCCAGGCTTGTTCCCGTTATCTAGATAAGTCATGTAAATGAATTCATCATTTCTAAGGGATGGTGAAGAAAGGGCATGCCTGATCTTATATTTAGGAATTCCAAAAATTTTATGTTGTCAATATGTGACCAAAGAGCTGGGCACAGGATCTCCTGTTGCTGAATTAGTTTGACTTGTCCTTCCCTCCAAGCCCTCAGTGTCCCTTTCAGTTGGTTGACTGCTCTGGCCTGGGGCACTGGCCTTCAGGGTATTTCCTTGCTGTCACTGTACTTCTCTGCTTGTGTTTTGAAGGAAGGGAGGGAGATATTAAGCCACACAGTGGCACATGTCAGATGAGAACAGTGTGAGTGAAGACAGAAATGAAAATGGGCATATTGTACGCAGGACACAATAAGGAGACTTTTTCTTGGTAGACAGAAAGTAAACCTGGCTATACCAGGTATTATGGAAAAGTAATGAACACAAGAGGCCCTTGCAAATGATAACTGATCTGCTGAAACTATAATTGCTAGATGATTATGACAAAGACAATGAAAAGATAGTCAATCCTGGGACCTCCAATCAACTGTGGGTAAAAGGCAAGG